TGAGACGGAAAATTGAATGAGTTTTTACCCTTTAAAGAAGATCTCCATTTCATTTTAAAATATGCTGTTTCCTACATTTTTAATGCTACTAACACTTAGATGTTTGCACATGTGTCTTTAATCTCTATGTATCTGATTATTATTAGTCACAGTTGGTTATCTTTTAAAAATTTATATCACTTAAAATTTGGTGTGAGTTATCATTGCTGATTTATTACTACTTTCTTCTTGGAAGCCAATCAAGGAGAGGTTTTGGCAACATTTTCTTTTATTTCTTTTCTGTCTCTTAAATATTAGTGTTCTCTGGCTTCACAGGCTTCTGACAGGTCTCTTTTCATATCACTGGTTGTCACTATAAAATATTATCTTCTCTTTTGGCAGCAGGCACAAGAGTCCCACCTTATTTGCAGATTCACTTTCTACAGTTTTTCATGGTCATTATGGTTCAAAAGTATTAAATGGAAAATTCCAGAAATAATTACGAGTTTTAAATAATGTGTGATTCTGAGTAGAGTGATGTAGTCTCACATTGTTCAGTTCCATTCTGCCTCAGTTTGGAATGCCTCTTTTGCTCAGTTTTTCTGTACTGTACTGCTAACCACTAGATAGTGCCTTGTTAGACACAGTGGTTCTTGGATAAACTGTCACAGTATACCAGTGCTTCTTTGAAAACAATCATTTTTAAGAAAGAGAGAGACCACATTAACTTAATTTTACTATAGCATATTATAATTGTTCTTTTATTAGTAATTATTGCCTTTATAATTATTAATTTTATTAATAATATACTATAGTATATTATAATATTCTTTTATTAATAATTATTAAATAATTATGAATACAACTTCATTATAGGATATGTTTGTATAAAGAAAAAAGATAGTATGTGTAAAATCTGGAGCTATTTATGAATTCAGGCATCTGCTGGGGATTCTAAACTACTTTACGACTTCCAGATCTCAGTCTCTGGCTTATATTTCTTTACGGAGCTCTAGTTATACGCAGTGATTATTACCAGGTACTGTTTTCTGTTTGTCTCATTAGTACTTCAAGTTCTAATGTTTCTGACTCAATTAAAATTTTCTACTCCTTGCCCTGACCTCACCTATGGAATGCATCGAACTTCCCTTTCGGTATGGGTGAATAGTGCTTCAGGGTCACATCGTGGCCCAAGTCTCTGTCGTCAGTGCTTGGACACAGCCTCTCCCGGTTCTGTAGATTGTGATCCTTCATGCTTCTGAACACACTCTTTCGTCATCCCTTTCCACTTTTTCACTTTGAGTCTCTATTACATCTTTTGTTAGTGCCTCCAGTGGCCAGCATCTTCCCTTGTAACTCCCAGTCATCCTTTCTCAGGCCCAAATCATGTTAATTGTACTGAAGACCACATCTGATTAAGGGTTTTCCCCATTTAAAAGCCCTTGGTTGATTTTACATAATCCTCAGGATAAAAATTCAAATTCCTATCATACTGTTGTGAAGCCTTTGATGACTTTACTGTTTTATGATTCAAAGATCTCTTTGTGCTTATTCATGTTTCTGGTGGGCTTTCTGCCTACCTTGGTGCTATGTGCTGGACATTTGTTCACATACCTGTCTGTGCTTTTTTTGTATGGACCTTAAAAAGTAGTCTATTCATTTGTACCTGATGGACCTAATGTCGTATATCACAGGTGTTAAATATATGCTTGCAGAACTAATCCTTAAAAAAATCTCTTTTATCTTTAAATGTACACATTTATGGTCAATATTGTAAAACATTAAGCAATTTTAGTATGTAGATTGCTTTAGAGATTGTCTATATCTGTATTTCAATGCTGCTTTGTTTCCATTGTTTAGTGGAGATTTTCAATATTTGATTTTCACCTTCAGTAGATGTATCTGAGGATTTGATAGGATTGCAGGCTAACCATAGCACTCAAAATTTCCATTGAGGTTTTACCGAATGGCATAGGAATTACTTGGAATGGCACAGTAAATACCCCAAAGAGAATCACGAATACTGTCAGTTCTTCATAATGCTCTGTAAAGAGGGAGTCAGTTTGCTTCCTATGAAATTATTTTTTTTAATGCATTGATTAATACTTGTAAACAGAATATAGGTTAATTGAATTTCCTTTTTTTATCCTTTTAAAATCTTTTCTGTTTAAACATATCTCCAAAAAGCCTCTTTATCCCTTTTTAATGCATTCATTGATTTTGCTTCACCATGTGTAACTCCATGGTTTAAATCATTTTAGCCTATCAGGAAAATTATACTAGCAAATCTCCCTAACAGTCAGTCTCGAGCTGAACTAGATATTTAACTAAAAAACCATCTGGGGTAAAAAAATCAAATGGCAAATATGATTTTAAGGAAAGTTATAAATGAGCTGCATTTAAATAATGGCATAAGAATGGGCATACTGAATATTCAGAATAAAAAAGAATGCATAGATATTCACAAGTGAAGAGACAGAATACTGAGGCCTTTTCTAAACCCAGAAAACTGAGCCATTGCTTTTATCTTTCCTTCACAAATAACAACTATAATTTCTTTAGAATGCTTACCATCCATATTGACTTAATCTATTAGGACAGCTATATTTCTTGTTGTGTAGGAGCAGATAATCACATCTTAAAAATGGCTACATCTGGAGTGAAATTACGAAGAGCATGCACTCTGGAATTTGAGCACTGTGACCCAAATCTATCTGCTGCATGAATCTAGGAAAATCATCCAATTTTTTTTTTTTTTGTAATCCAGTTTCCTCCTCTTTAACAGGAGGAACCAATGAGTGGGTGCCAATTGGGTGCTTAGGACTACCTGTCACTTAGTAAGTGGCTAAATGTAAAAGGTAGGAAGCCAGTAAAGCTTCCTTATAGAACACAGAGTGATACACACTGAAGGTCACAACTGGCTGTTTTTTAGAGAATAAGAGTCTGCAGAGAATGTGTCCCTGGATAGGACTTCTATATTAAATCTCACCCACCCATGGCTCAGGGACCATTGCAAAAGAGTGGGGACTGAGTGTAAGAGCCAGAGTTGGTCTATGTACACGGGGGAAACAGGCTTTCAGGCCACTGGAAGCTTGTACATGTGAACTTGAGGCAATGGTGGTGTTGAGCACAAGACCCTTGCTGACTCAATCAGACAAGGTCCCAGAGTGGAGTGAAGGAACTGGGCAGTCTGCTTGCCCTACCCTGGGAACTGTGGGTGGCTGATTACTTCTGAGTGAGGGAGAGTAGATCTTCCTTAAGATCTGTAGATAGGCTGACTACACTCTAGTGGATGAACTCGTACCAAAGGACATCTGGGTACAAATGTTTGACCAGATAGGACTTAACATGTATGACAGAATGCATGAGGTCCAGTGAGGGGGTATGTGGGGGCATGGATGGGGTAGGGGGTCTAAATTTTATTGAGAACTATTGTATGAAATGTACAAAAGCTCAATAAAAATATTTTCTTTAAAAACATGGAAGGTAGCTACTGTAATGAAGGGCATCTGATATTCACTGATCACACTAATGATGCCAGCACCATGTGCCTTCCTTGTACTACAGTATCACTTCGTCCTAAAGTGCTTTTTTAAAAGTAAGGATTTTCTGCTTACGTTTTCCTGCTGCTACCTTAGTTCTAGAATGTCTTTCCTAAAACCCACATGTTAAAATTTTTGGTTTTCAGTGATTGTTTTGGTAGTACATATACTAAAATTGGAATGATACAAAGATGGCTAGCACAGCCCCTGCTCAAGGATGACATGCAAATTTGTGAAGCGTTCCATATTTTTACAGGCTAATCAAGGTTCTACTGGATGAATGCACACTGAGGGACATCTGGGTACACACAACAGACTGAATAGACCTTAATATATATGACAGCATGAAATCCTGTGGGCAGGCTATGGGGAAGTACGGTTAGGGGAAGGGCTCTAAATATGATTAAGATGTTTTATATGAAATGCACAAAAGTTCAGCTAAAAATACATTGAAAAAAATTAAAAAGAATTCTCAAAAAAATTTGGTTTACAAGTTTGGTGCTATTGAAAAGTGATGGAAACCTTTAAGAAATGGGCCTGGGTGTGGAGCATTTTAGGACACTGAGGGGCATGTCCTTGAAGGAATTTCTGGGTGCTGGCCCCTTTCTCATCCTGACCATGAGGTGAATGGTTTTGTCATGTGCTCTTATTATGTCTTGTCATAGGCTCTAAAGCATCAATGCCGATCAATTATATACCAAAACACTCAAAATGGTGAGCCTTTTCTCTTTCTAAGTTGACTATTCCAGGTAGTTAGAGAAATGGAAGAGCTTTATTCCCTTTAAAATAAACTAACTCAAGTTAGTAGCTTCTGGTAAAGACATTTACAATCATGGTAAAATGGAAGGAGAAGGAGATAATTTTGCTGGAGTATGTGTTTTTTTTTTTGTCACCTGTGCTGGCTCATTAAACCTTTGATATGGCAAAGATATACACATAAAAATTTAGAAGTACCTGATTACTCTGCAACCTGTATATACACAGCTTTCTGAGTCTGATTAGAGGGAATAAAAGGGCTTATTTTGAGGCATCTGAAAGAGAAGTGACTTTCAATAGGTGCCACAGTTTGAAACATGTAAATAGTTATTATTGAATTTCAGATAATATGGAAACAGTGGAAAATATTACTTAAACCAAAGCCATGTAGGTAGATATTTCATTTCAATATTTCATTTCTAATAATTGTTTCATTTTTTACATGCATGGAAGTTATTCATAATATGTCCACAGGGCCTGAGAGATGGCTCAGTGGTTAAGAGCACTGGCTGCTCTTGCACAGGACCTGGGTTCCATTCCTAGCACCCACAAATGTCTGACAACAATAAGTAACTCCAGTTCCAGGAAATCTGACACCTTCTTCTGATCTCCATGGGCTTTGCACATGGGTGCACTTGCATACATGCAGGCAAATACACTCATATACAGAAAATAAAAATAATGAATAAAAATCATTATATGTCCCTGGTTTGAACTAAGGATTCCACATAATCAGCACTGCTCAAGGGTATGCCTGTCCTAATTCCTGGTAAGCGCTCTGTTTATCACATGGAAGTCTTAAAATTTATTCATATGCTTACATATTCTATGTGTGTACCTGCAGTCTGTGGGTCTCGTGCTGGGTAGGCTGAGGAGTCCACACTGAGTCAGATTGCTGTAGGTCCGGAGAACACAGAACTTGTAGTATATCAAGGAACAATTCGGTGACTAAAACTGTGTATCTTCATTCTAAGCAGCTGCTTTCCAGTTGGGGATGATTTCACTCTTTTCCCCAGGAATATGTGAATGCTTATATTTGCTTATCAAAAGAGTCTGTCTCCATTTTGCCAGAATTTAAGGTTTTGTATCCCAAAGTTCTGTTTATCAGAAAAAAATCTATTTTATACACTCAAGATATAATTTTTCCAAAAATCCTTTCCTAAATCTGAGATATTGTGAGGCTACCTCAGTCCACAGTGACATCAGTTAGGCTTTGCCTCAATGGTAATGTTTTTCACATCTACTAATTGTTAAGGAGCAAATTTTTATGCTTTGAATAATTATTTTTTAATTTTCATTTTGGTCTTTTTGAGAAAGGGTCTCCCTGTAGCCCCAGCTGTCCTGGAACTCACTATGTAGACCAGGCTTGCCTTGAACTCACAGAGATCCCCCTGCCTCTGCCTCCCGAGTGCTGGGATTAAAGGTGTGTGCCACCACGCCCAGCAATTTTTTAATTTTTAAAAAATTTAATAACCACATGATTAGAAGAAACATTTCATTACAGCTTTAACATATTCAGTAAAATACTCCAGAGCAAGGATATATCTCTTTCAAAAGTGGCTATAAAATTTTTAAGTTCGCTGTTGAATTAATACAGTTATACAATATTGGACACAGTATAAGCCTTGGAAGACATAAAATTGGATGAGTTTTTAACCTTTAAAAAAGATCTCAATTTCATTTAAAAATATACTGTTTCTTACAGAAAGACTCATTGTTTTTGCTACTAACACTGAGATGTTAGTGCATGTATCTCTAATCTGTTTGTATCTGATTACTACTAGTCATAATCGGTTACACTTGGATCCTTGGCTCCTGGGTATGTCTATAAAGTCATCAGGTAGATTTCAATGGCAATGTTTATCACCTCTACTAATTAACATGATATAATTTTTTTGTGTGTGTGTCTTTATGTATATATTTTAAGGAGCTTCTATAGTGGTAGGTTTCCATATGGGTTTTTCCAAAGGCCTTTAGTATTACTTATCCCTCCCCATATTCCTTCCTCTGCTTGCCTTCCTCTTCCTTTCCCCATTTAACCCTTCCTAATCTAATGTTCCCTTCTCCCTTCAGCTAGTACTCTTAACTGCCAGGCCACCGTTCCAGCCCCTTGTGGCTAGTTTCTTAAGGTAGAGCTTTATTGAAATTAGATCTTTTTCTTTTTTGTATAGGAGCTTCAAATTTTTCTTTGAGCACTGTTTTGGCTTCATACCATTAATTTTGCCATGTTGTTTTCATTTATCTCAAAATAGTTTCTAAGTCTACTCAAGATTTATTTCTTCGATCCATTATTTATTTGGAGTATATTATTTAGTTTCTACGTAGTTAACTTGACACACCTAGGTTGAGGGACTCAATTGGGGAATTGCCTTGATTGGACTGGCCTATGGCCTTGTCTGTGGTGGCATCTTATTGATTGTTGAGTGATGTGGGAGGGCCCATCCCACTGTGGGTGGTGCCACCCCTGGGCAGGTGGGCCTGTGTTGCATAAGAAAGCAGTCTGAGTAGGGGCCAGAGGAGCAAGCCAGTAAGCAGTGTTTCTTAATGGCCTGTGTTCCAGCTCCTGCCTGCAGGTTCCTGCCCCAAGTTCCTACCTTGGCTCCCTGATGAGCTGTAACCCAGGAGATGTAAGATAAATAAACCCTTTCTTCCCCAAGTTGGTAATGGTCAGAGTGTTTTGTCACAGCAACGAAGAAACAAACTAGGACAGTTGTACATTGAAATCTCCAACTATTACAATTGAATTCTCTGTTTCTCCCTCCAGGTCTACCGGCTTTCACTTCATGTGCGTAGTTGCTCTGTTGTTAGGTAGATATATGTTTGTAAATGTTTTGTCTTCTAGGTGGATTGACCCTATCTTTTGTCTTTAGTAGTACTTTTTGCCTTGAATTCTATGTCCCATGCTATTAGTTTAGCTGTTCCAGCTATTTTTTTTATTGTTTTATGATATATTTACATCTCATGTATTTTAAATAGTGTATCATATGGCCCCTGTAGAATAACTCCCCCTCTACCTTTCCTTTCTTCATAGTTCACTCTTATTACAGTCTTTTTTACTTCTTGGGGTACTGTTATTTCTGGCTTTCTTGAATCATTGTAGATACTGTGTTATAGTCTGAGTGTTCATCTTCTCTAACTTCATATGTTGAAATGCTTCCTTTTGAGTTACAGTCATGAGTTAGGTCATAAGGATAAACCTTTTGTGACTGAGACTAGTACCCATATAAAAGGTGCTTAAGTGAGAAGCCCTGTCCCTTCCACCATAGGAGGTGATAGCAAGAAGGTGCCAACCATGAGGTAGCAGGTTTCCACCAGACACTAGATTTGCTTGTACCTGATCTTGAACTTCTGGGTCTCCAGAAATATGAGAAATAAATATTTGTCATTTGTTACCCACCCAGTTCATGATTCCCCTCCCCTCCCCTGCCTTCCCTTCCCCTGCCCTCCCCTTTCTTTTTTTAGCCTTTGTAGTCCCTGGCTAGCCTGGAACTCACCGTGTAGAACAGGCTGGCCTCAAACTCACAGAGATTCCACTTCCTTCTACCTTCTGAGAGTGCTGGGATTAAAGGCAGTGCCAGCACACCTGGCCATGCTGTTTTCTTATAGAAGCCCAAATGAAATGAGACAAACTGTATTCTTGGTCTCGTGAGATGACTAAAGCTGTTATTTGGCCAATTTAATGGTCAGTTAATGAAGACAGTGCTATTCTTAAATATTTGAAAACATTAAGTTCCCCCATCCATTTATTTATGTATTTTTAGATAGTAGCTCTTATACAGTCCAGACTGGGCTTGAACTTACAGTGTAGCCACATCTTTCCTTGAACTCGTGATCCTTCTGCCTCCACCTTCCAAGTACTGAGATTACAGACGTGCCCCCCATGTCCAGCTATTTCTTCTGTCCTTTGGGAGTACTGCTTCATGTGTTGGGGCACATATTCATTGCTCAAGTATGCATTTTACATTACCGCCTTACCCTTTGCTTCCTGCCTATGCAGAACTTCAGGGTCAGCCAAAAGTGAGTTTCAGACCTGGTCAGGTCTTTCCTAGGCATGTGCACAACCTTGTGTATCTGTTTTGCCATCTAGATCCCCAGGATTATTGCAGACTTTCGCAAAGTCCTCTGTAGACCTCTCATTTCCTAGTTTTTCTTTTAAATCCTGTGGTTGTTTTATTGCTAACCAAATGCTAGTGATCATTTTCAACAAATAACCTTGGTGTTGTAAGGCTTTTTGTACTAAGGTCTGATGCGGTTCATGTTAAACAAGTTCTATGAATAGAAGATTTTTAGGGGAAAATAGATCAAATGATGGTGGCTGACTAGGTCAACTATGATCTTTCTTCTGGAATTCTGTTTTTAAAGTTTTCTGAGCATCTGTCCCCTCCAATATCTGAGTCTTCTGGTTCTGCCCTTCATTCCCAGGCTGTTGATTTTCAAGGCTATGCAGAGCCGGGGAAGGCATGGGGACTCTACAAAACTCACTGTTCTTGTTGATA